GAAGACACTTACACAAGCCCTGACCCTCCCGTGGCCGAAACCGACACCAGAAAGCGATTTCATTTCACCCCCATCCAAAACTAGCAGTCGCCCAACCAACATGCCGACCATTGGCGCAGACTGAAAAGTCCGCAATGGCCAATAGGCGCATAACCCTGAAATTATTGATTTTTATACCTGTTCAAATTCCTAGTTTGCAATGTTATGGCCCTGAAGGTGATTTGCCGAAAAGTATACTTTGCCTTACAAATTAATTTTATGAGCTAGCACACGCACTACAGTACGAAAAGAAGTCACAAATAAACGTGAAAGTGTAGGTAGGGCAGGAAGGAAGGAAGGAAGGAAGGAAGGAAGGAAGGAAGGAAGGGGAGAGCAGCATTGTCTGCGACATTAAACCGTGACAAGCTGTTGCATTTATTAGCCCTGAGGGAGACCCTTACTTCATCTGAATTCGAACAGAACATTAAATATCGTGTGACTGAAAAATAATCAGTTTGTACAGACAGTCTGGCGAGATTTGGTTGGGACGAAACAATACTCAGTGAAAACAAGGTGGCGAAAAAAGCCGACTTCTCAGACGCCCGACTGCGAAAGTAAGGGAGCTAAAAGCGCTTAACATGCAGGATGTTATATGCTTCGGAATGAGCGAAGTTGGGGTAGGTTAGAAGCTGGATTTTTGGTACAAACTAGGCGTGTGATGGGTGAAAATCAAAAAAAGAAACCGCAGCTTACCCGTTTAGCTTTGAAACAAAGAGAGGTAGTCTTCAGTGCCTCCAGCTGTTTTCTCTGGTCTTCTAGACGATGCCGCGCGGCATCTATGCGTTGATGGCCCTCCTCAATGCGCTCGCACAGCCGCTTGGCTAAAAGACAGGTGCGAACTGGCCATCCGTCGGTTTGGTCTTCGTCCTTCCGATCCAAATCGGCGCGCATTTTCATCTTGAAGTGACCCAGAATCACCATTTCATCCCTGGCAGCGAGACAGCCAGACTCGTCAATGTCAGAAGCTCCAGTTGCAAAATCAGAATCCATGTCCTTGATGAGTGCAGCAACAAGCTGGGCCGGTAGAAGGCTACAGGAGCTAGGAGAGGGGAACAGGGGAATTGAATGACAGCTAGGGAATATAAATCAATGCGACCTTTACATCTGCACTGGGAAGCTGAATTTTCAAAAGTTGCGACCTGAAGACTAAAAAAAATTCAAACACGCGCCTGGATTCCAACCAGTACCTGTGTTGTTGCCGGTATAATTTTCGTGTTATTACTACTCTGACCTTCGTTCATCCCTGCCCTCTTACCCTCGTTGATTAACGTTCATCCCTACCTTCTCGCACGCTCGCTAACCACTCTTCATCCCTTTTCAGTTCTTGTACGACAACTATAAGATGAGTAAAGCCCAATTCTAGGGCACTCGCTTTTTCCTTCTCGACTGTTTGGCTAGTGCATACTGAATAACACGACTCTATTCCAAGCAAAGCATATCGCTAAGAATGGAGGTCTTAAACTATGCAAGCAACTTGGATGTGTTAACTCGCTGCAGACATTTCAGGCATGCGATCCAAACTAATAACTTAGGAGAGTATAAAGCAATATTCAGAAAAGCCAATTAAAATGCGTAAAACAGATTCGAAAGAAACGTGCGCAAAATGCTAAATCAACGAATTGCCAACTCATTCCACAAAATATACTTTTCGAAAGAAGAGAACACTAGTTCTAATGGCGAGTTTGCCGTGGAGATCGGAAATTGCGCGCATGAGACGGGATTTGACGTGTACTAAAGCTCGAGAGTTTAACATTCCCAAAGTGTAACCTAACATTCTGGACAAAGTAAACGCAGACAGCTGTGTAAAAGATATTCTAATTACTGGTGTTTTACCGGCAAACGTTAGGACTGCGAGATATGCGTATTTGTGGCTCATTAGCCGTCGTCAGCCGCAGTTACCCGACTCCAGTATAGCCACAGAAACTGCCGCTACACTCGAGTTTCGAACCCGCGACCAGTGAGCTAGAGACGAACGTCCTATCCATTGAGCCACCGGGTCGACGTCTTGTCGGTTGTCGATCGGGAATATCCTCGGCTTTTAACACAGCTATAGTCTGCATTAGACCAGACGACCACACTACCAATCAGCCTCTGAGTAGTACCAATCAGAGTCTAGTCGTTGTGTTAAAGAGTCGTTTACC